TTTTTTCCCAGCCATCACTGACTGGGATGCCACCATTTGGGAGATAGCTTTTTAGTCAATGAAATTGTCCCACTTCTTCTGTTTAGAACCAGCTCGCGTGAAGCCAAAGCTATTACCCAGATGCTTGTCAGGCAGACACAAAAACACTTTGCAGTGTATCTTGGCTTGCTTTGAGGGGACTTCCTGCCAATAGAGCAGTGGCATTTGCCAAGTTTACGTGAACTTGAGGGCAGATTTCTCTGTTCCTACCCTTGGAACACTGCAGAAAACATGTTTTCCATTTTGCACAGGATAAAAGAAGCTTCCCTCAATGGGACTGCTGATGGCAACATCCCAGGCAGCAAACATCGCGCTTCGTCCTTCTCATCGCCAGGCGGAAAATTGCCCCTCCCCTTTCCGTGGGGACTTGTCCCTTAACTAGGGAATACTCTAGGGTTTTTTGATAGTTTTGTGCAGACTTAAGAACAATGGTGGGTGTCCAGAAAGTTTTTCTTGAAACTTAAAAGTTAGCCTGGCATATTCTTTCACGGCTGGTAGAAATGTCTCCAGTGAGTGATCCGATGACAGGGCTCCCCTTCCCCAGGAAGCTGTAAACTTTGCAGCCTTCCTGTTCGCACGTGCTTTCTTCATGTGCAAGAGGAGATGACCCTCATGGGAGGTAATTCTCTTCCCAGGTCTCTCGCAGCTTGGCGTTTGTCCTGAGGTTACAGCTTACCTCCGAGCCTGCCTGATACTGGGCGACAGGTTGTTGGTACTTTGTTGTTGTTGGTTTGGTTTGGTTTGGCTTTTTTTGTGAAAACTTGTGATGCTCTGGTAGGGAAGTCTCTTGGCAAAACTCAGCTCTTTGTGTCCGATACAATAAATGTTCTTTGGTTGCATCGTTACCAACCCATTGGCATCACCAGTGAATTTGACAGAAAACGCAGCAGCGTTTCTCAGAACTCAGCCTTTTTTGGACTGGGGAGTGTTTCAACTTCTGACTCTTCCATAAACCAAGAAAGAGCCTGAAATTGCCTTTAAATCTGGCAGTCCCCTGGTGCACGTTTAACTCTGAACTGGTGCATTGCTTCTCTCAGTGCTGTCCATCAGTGGCTGTTTTTCCAAAGATCGTGTTTGTTCTCCACCTGTCATGCTGCTCCTCGAATTACAGCCAGCTTTCGTTCCCGGTGGTCAGTGCCAGGTTGGCGGTGGGAAATGCCTGATTGGGCATTTCTCTCAAAACTGACATAATTAATGACAAACTTGGCTCCAGGAGCCCCGTGTCTCCCAACCTTCTCTACTACTTCCACTGGCTGCAGCAGTAGCTCAGCAAAGTGCAACAGAAAACCAGCCTGTGTCCATATGGGAAGGAGGCACGTGCTGAAGAGCACTGGGAAGGTTTTTGAGAGCAGTGAAGGCAAATAGAAGCCCAGTTTTACTTGGCTTTTAGAGGCCCTTTAGTGCTGTACTTCTGTTGCCTTTGAACGTCTCACCCGTTTTCAGCATGAGGCAGAAAGGTACCTGCTTTTGCCACGAACCAGGTGTTAGCTTGTACTGTTAGTGTCTTCAGCTGCCACTTTTCCTGTCCACCGCCTAGTGTTGTTTCTGGATGAATATGAAATTCCCCTCCTTCCCCTCCTGGCAAAAGAGCTGCTCTGTGCCTGGGCTGGTCCTCTGCTCCGATCACTGCCCTGCCCCTAGCTTGAAGCCAGGCATCACCAGGTGTGCAAATGCACAGCTCAGCCCTGGGCATCTTCACTGTTCTCCCCATACTTTTAGACATAATATTTACAGTTGCACTTGGCCTTGTATCCATAGCTTTATTCCAAAGAAATGACTGTACTATATATGTGCTAAGCTTTTACAGTTTTTCTGTTCTGCAGCCAAAACTGCAGCTGTGCCCAGACTTCTGGCTAGGGCACATTATCGAGCCTTTTATGGAGGCCCTCGCTCCGGCCTTGCAACCAGACCTGCACCCACCCCATCTGGCGGGGCTGGCATGTGCTGGGCCAGCAGCCCTTCACACACCCCAGCACCCGTGGGTGTCCCATCCCGTGGCTTCCTGGGCGCCCTTCATGCAAGGGTGCTGTTTTTCAACCCTATGGTATGTACGTGGGGTTGCGTGACAAGGAGGGGGCAAATCCGTTAAAGAGGGAAGCCAGGCCAAAGGCTGAGAAACGGCTCTGGTGGGCTGTGGGGTCCACGCTGCTGATCTGCTGCGACCATCCAGGAAGCTCCTCAGACTTGTGCTGAGCCAGGAGCTGGGTAATTCCTAGAAGCTCTAGGACTGGGCAGTCGTTAATGAAAGCGGGCAGTAACGTGGTATTAGTGGGTTCTTGTTCTGGAAATTCCCATGAAAAACACCAGATCTCGTCCACTTGTGGTTGCGAGCATACATAGACCCTTTGCATGAGAACGGAGGTGTTATTCCTGGCACCATGGCCAGAGAGCGAGCCAGCAAATTATGGTCTGTTTACTTAAAATGCCACCTGCGGTTTCAGTAGGATCCAGCATTAATTTATTATCCTAAACTGTTGTATGTTGTTACTGCCTGTTGTTTACAGAGTTGCTGCACGTCTTCGCAGGAATGGCTGAGCTTGCTGTGACCCCTGCTCCGAGCTTGTGTATCGTTTTGTCTGAAGAGCACTTTGGGGTTGCTTTGCAATGGGTAGAGAAGATTTATAAAGAAATGCTTTTTAAATCTGCTGTATGCAGGCTTGGGTGGGAGCAGTTGTTCCCTGCAGAAAAATTCAGCTGCTGCAGCTGAGGTTGCTTAACAGTGGCAGTTCTCCAGGACGTCTTAACTAACTAAGTGCTGCTTGCTACCATTACATCTAGGGCCTTTGGGAAAGGACACGATAAAATGTGTTAAAAAGCATCTGTTTTCGTAACTGTAGCTAAAAACCCTGGAATAGCTGGGTGTAATTTTCCATTGTTTTTTAGTTCATGGTCATGGATTGCTCTTTGGCAATAAGAAGTACTGAAAGATGAACTGCAGGCCTGCTTCAGTGCACGGTCGAGTGCTGTGTGGACGGCCAGGTTTTGAGAAGTTCTTTCTTGCTTCCGCAGCTTGCAGGAGCTGAGGAACCTTCTTGGTTACAGGAACAAAATCCATCGGTGGGAGTCTCCAAAGTGTGAGACAGTGATTGCAAATATATGGCTTTGGAGGGAAGAGCTGACTAGGTTGATCCCTACGGTTTATTAAGTAGTCTCTTCTAGGAACAGGGGGTGTTTGGAGGGAGGTAGGCATGTTTTGGTAGCTTCTTGGCTCAGTTTGAAGGAGGTGAAGAGAGCATCTCAGGTGCTTCTTCCTTCGCTTCCCTGGAGCAAAGATCACGTGCTTTCTGCCCTTCGCAGTATGGCCAAGCAGGCTAGCCAGAAAACCTGCGCAGGATGCCTGATTCCAGGGTAAACCACAGGAACCTGAAATGCCAAGCAAAAAATGGAGCCTGCAACACCTTCATTTGATAGCAGGTTCTGATAAATTTGAGCTTAAGGCAAAATCGGGGCCATTAGGGAAATTGGTTGCACAACACAAGGCAAAGCTGGTGCTTCAGTCTGCTCTGCCAAAATACAGAGAGAATTTAGGTTGCGACATGGGGAGGTGCAAGTCCCCGTTCAAAACGCTCGGAGACACGATACGGCGCATCCAGTTCACCTACAAACAGCACAGCGCAGGGGTCGATTGCACTTTGTCCTAAATTGGAGTATATTCCTCTCATTCTTGAAATTCCTCAACTATTCACCTGTCCCCACTCAGCTCTTGGCCCAGAAAACAGCTCCAACTCAAGAAACGTCAAGGTATTGGAAAGTTGGGACTTGAGGCTTTTACAAGGGAGAAAAAAACAGTTTTATACTACAGTGTAGAATGACCATGTTGAAAATGGGGTTTAGCACTGAGACATACTAGGAGTTTTTTATTTTGTATGTTTGGGAGTAACAAAGGGTGGCAGGGGCCTTTCTGGAAGAAAAGCTGTGTTGTGGCCTCTGCTGAGGAATAGTGGCTAGGCCATACAGTTTATAAAGGGGAAGCTATGCTGGTATTTTTAGCCGCAAAAATTAAGCGAAAGACTGACATTTTAAATGCATCTGACCCAAACAGAGCTACGGGCTGTAATTGCATGAGATAAAATCCTAATCTGAAGTGAACGCTGTGGCTCTTCAAAATACATTTTTCTAATGCACGCAAGCATGAGGAGAGATTGAAGGAAAAGGGCCATCGTTTGACGTGTCGGAGGGAGCGGATAAAATTGAGGAAGTGCTCATTTTAAATTCCCTTCTAAGGAGCGTTGTACCTACTGTGACAGGCTGCAAAACCCAGCCGTGACCGCAGGCAGAGCAGAAGTTAGGTTGCTGGAGAATTTTGGACCGGGGGGATGGGTTAATTTAATTTTGGCTAATTTAAGACATTGGATACAAAAAAACAAGTTTTAAAAATAGTTTGAGACGTTTATGTAGAAAGAGCGTGTTTTTTGTTTAAACATAACAATGAAGGAATTGGGCAAAAAATTAAAGAGCGGTGCAAACAAAAGCAAAACGTAGTGCTTGGGGTTTCTCTCTTCTTCTGTGGTCGAGCTGCAGAGAGCCTTTCGTGTCGTGATTGTTACTTTCGTGCCGAAATGGCTGTGGGAGTCGAGTTCAACGCCCTTCACAGTTCTGCTCTGATTTTTGGCTAGAAAACACTGTAACCGAGGGGTGGGATGGATGGTGCTGGAAGAGTTTAGCCCTCTCGCCATATTATTTTGCTCTCCTCTAGAGCTGTCACTATCGAGTCTGCTACACGTTGTACCAAAGGGCACATAAAATTTTCCTGGTTCCACCGAGGCTCTGCGCGTGGCAGCGTCCCACGCAGGTTTGTCGCTGTCGACGCCTGGCGCGGCGTGCATCTCCGCCTCTGGAGCAGCGCAGGGTTTCGGAGCCGGGCTTTCCGCGGAGCTCCCCCGGCGCGTCCGTGGGGTTTCCTGGGGGAGGACGTGGCTCTCGCGCTGCGGCTAACGTCGCTCTCCCCGGCGTCTCCGCAGGGTTCTGGCTGGTGTGGACCATCATCATCATTCTGAGCTGCTGCTGCGTCTGCCATCACCGGCGCACCAAGCATCGTCTCCAGGCCCAGCAGCGGCAGCATGAGATCAACCTGATCGCTTACCGGGAAGCCCATAACTATTCAGCTCTGCCATTTTATTTCCGTACGTACCTCGCACGGCTTCTCCCGGAGGACATGGGGTGCAGGGCAGCCTCTCAAAGAGCAGCGAGTTTCCCGTGCTGGGTGGAGGTGGGAAGCGGTGATTGGGCTCAGCCAAAGACAAGGGCGGCTCAGCTGCATCGTCTGTGCCTTGTGGAGAGGAGCTGGGAAATTCCAGCCGCTACCTTTGGCTCCAGAGTTGAACTACACCATCTGCAGCACCTTCACAGCCACCGGTATATGGCTGTGTGTGCGCAGTGATTACCTGGGTGTTTTCCTGGGAAGGTTTTTAAAACCAGTCAGGACCGCGTGGATGCTCCTCTTCTTCGGCCTGTACTTGCAGCTGGCAGGTCTGAGGTGTGAGGAAGTGGGTTCACGGAATTTGGTCACACAGGCTGGGCGAGAGAGGTGCTCCAGCTGGACCAGGCTGGCTCCCACCCTGTGCTGCGGCTCCCAAACCGCACTGGTTCTGGTGAGCAGCCTTAGGACATCGCACAAAGGAGCTGTTATCCGTAGCTCAGGGGAAGCATAGCTGACTTGTGCTCTCCTTTAGCACCCTGCTACGCTGTGTGAGCGCAGTGAATCGCAGCCTTTTGACTGGAGGTGCCACAATTAAGTTTCCTGCAATAGGCTGTTGAACTGCATGTATGAACGTGCTTTTCTCGTTAAAGTCTTGCAGCCACTCCAGAAATAATGCCCAACAGCCCTTTCCTCCCCACCCCCAGAGATGCACATGGAAAGCTGCAGTGCTATCTTTAAATGTTTCCATTATTTGTTGATTTTGCCTATATAGACTATTCTGCTGCCTCCTAAGAAATCAGTAATCTTTTGTAGACTAGGGGCTCTAACCACAGTACGTCAAATTCTGCTGCTACTGCCAGTTTATTCTGACCACACCAGAAAAACTGAATCCAGTGCTAAAACAACTACCAAAGAGCCGGGATCTTAAGTTTCTTGCAGCTGCTTGTGTCTTTTTGTATTCACATCAAGCTTTATAAGATGAAATCTTTGCTCTTGGAAGGGGAAACTCATCTGAGAGGCCAGGGTTGGGGAGGGCTGGCAGGTTATCTTGGGCGCTCCAGGCGGTTGGTTCCCTGCAAGGCAGTACAGCCTATCCCTTGCTGCCTTTTGTAGGGTCATGATGGGATACGGGGAGCTGGTGAGGATTGCCTGGGAGCCGAGTCGGGCTGCTGTTCCCCGCTGTGTCCGTCTCCTGCAACTACGCCTTGATTCTTGCTTCCCTGAAACGCTAACTCTCTCGTTTGGGCTGAGTTTTGGCACCGTTTGTAAAGCGTGCTGAGCTATTCAGTGGGAAGGTGCTGTGGGTGACAGATGATTTATTGAGCTGCGTTAATGACGAGTTTCCTGAGATAAGCTGTTCATGAAATAACTTCTTCCCTACCTCCCCTTTTTCAGGATTTTTGCCAAATTATTTACTACCTCCCTATGAGGAAGTGGTGAACCGCCCGCCAACCCCTCCGCCACCGTATAGTGCCTTACATCAGCAGTGCGTCCCGGCCGGCAGCAGCAGCACAATCCCGGATACGCCACGAAACCTGCAGCCAGCACAGAGCAGCTCATCGGCGCCCGGCGGCAATCACAGCAGTGCTGAGAGCACCAGCTCCCCCGGCCTCGGCGACCCCGAGCCCTCCGCCGTGCTGGTCGAACGAGCGGTTGCCAAAATGCAAAGTGTCGAGCCGGGCAGTACCAGCACAGGAGCCGAATTAGAGGAGAGGGCCGGTCCCGAGAAGGATACGGAGTGCAAGGAGGAACTGCTGAGAGATTACAGCTCTGAGAGCTTAGAGCAGAGCAGCGCCATTCCCGATGCCAAGGACAAGACGCCGGGCAGGCAGCGCCGCTTCACAGGCGACTCGGGAATCGAAGTCTGCGTTTGCAACCGGGGCCATGACGACGACGACCTCAAGGAGTTCGACGGGCTCATCGAGGACGCTTTGGACGGGCCCCTGGACTTTTGCGACAGCTGCAGCAGCCGCCCCCACGGGGACGAGGAGGAAGGGCTTTTTAATGCCAGCAGACGCGCAACCACACCCCCCCCCCCCTGCCCCGGCAGCCGGTGTGTGTACTCTTGAACACAATAAATGAGCAGGACTCTCCAAACTCTCGTACCAATAACTCCCCCAGCTAAGGTGGCAGAGTGGAAGGGAGAATCTGGGGAAAAACAAACAAATAAATAAAAGTGAAATGAGAGGATTAAAACTTTAAGAGGAGGAAAAGGTGATGCAACTTTTTTTTTTTTTTTTTTGCTTTCTTTCTTTCCTCCCCCTCCAGTATAAATTGGGGACTAACCCCCAAAGGCCCGGCTTGTGGGGGACGGGTCGCTCTGGGTTTTGTTAATTGTGTCCCTCCTGCTCCACGAGGCAGGGACTGATGTTTCTCAATGAGACCTTCTGACAAAGGGAACTTTCTCAATGGTGATTTTGGTGATGGTTATTATCAGTTTGTTGGTTTTAGTTTTCCAAAACACTGCTTTATCTTGCAATCAGTAAAGCTCAGCAAATCTCACCCTGGGAGGAAACGAAATCACCACAAGGCTTCAACCTCCAGGTGTCTTCCCAGAAGCAAGCAGCTTCTGACAGTGCCGGCAGTCAGTAGCCCAAGAGTTCTGGTTTGATTTAGTGCTCTTGAGGCATTGTGGATTTCTTTTCATTTTAACTTTTCTTGTTGTTGCTGTTAAATATTCCCAAAGCTGCTGATGAATAACTGAACACATCAGCCCTGTAGTCTCTGGTGCTTCAGTGTTTAAGACAGCAGGTAGGAAGTTTCCCACTGGAAGCTGGTAACTGAAGGACCAGTTTCTTCCAGAAGGAGTGTTATTCTATTATAAGCAGTTCGGAAGGAGAGGGTTTGCAGAAATTTGCCTTTATATGTAATTTTTAAAGACAAATGTATTCCTTCAATGCCTCCAAGAGCACAGTTAGGAGTAGAATCCGGGCAGCTGGGCTGCCTTCCAAGTACTGTGGTCTCCGAATGACCTTTTCCTGGTGTGCTGCAAAAGGGCTTGGCTTTATTTTTTCCTTCTTTTGCACCCCGAGAGCAGCACACTCGAGTTAAGATGACAAAAAAAAGAACAGGGCTCTCTTTGGCCAGCGTGCCTTCAAGCTTCAGTGATGCATGTTGAACAAATGGAGACGAGAGCTCCGTCCAGTGCGAAGGGATGACTTACCATGTAGATGTGGAAGACCTGTGCAGTATTTTTTTTTTTTTTGATCCAAGAGTTTGGTGCGGTTTAATGTTGACCACTTAAAAGAAATGAATGTCTGTTTTTCTTTTCTTTTCTTTTTTTTTTTATGGTGGCAACTGGCTACTGTATAATGTCTGTGAGCGTGTGTGTGTGACTGCAATCCATGCATGCGAGTCCTACTGGTAATATGAAAACCTGCTGTAAGACTGCAAGAAAATTTACTGTAGCTTTGCTTTAATAAACAGTAGAGATTTTGTTAGTAATAATCCGAAGGGAAAAAAAGAAAAAAAAACAAAAGAGCTGAAACTAACATTCCCTGACGTGCTCGTGTGGAAGAGAGCACGATTCAGACTATATATCTTGTTCTCGGGTTTTCTCCCCTATCCCTTTTATAAATATGGTCGTCCAGATCATTACTGTTGTGGGGGGGGAGGGGGGGAGAAATGGAAAACTGAACTCAGACATACTGAGATTTGATTGATTGAAAACCAAAATCAGTTTTAAATAAGTTGGAAACCAAAATATAATGCCTTTTCTGATAACTTGCCTGTGTGTGCGTGTGTCATTTTGTGAGCTAAGAACATGATCTGTCCTTAGTTGGTTTCTTCTGGTGTGTTTGGTTTTTGGTTTTTCTGTTTGTTTTAAGTGGAGGTATGTAGCACTGTCCTGGATGCAGATGACAGAACGAAATAAGTGGTGCTTATTTCAGTACTTTACCCACGTGTTTGAAGAGAGTGCTTTTCACTCGCGAAGCCTAAAAGGGCGACTTGAAGGAGAGCCTCGCTGCTTTGCCCTTCAGAGCCTTTCCCTTCCTTCGCAGCAGCGGGTCAAGACGTGCTCTTTGGAGACAGAACTTCAGTTTGCCTGTTAGGATGCCCTTAAAAATTTAAGGCTTTGATTTGGGTTCAGGAGACTTCATTCCTAGATGTGTTACATGTGAGTGATGGTAGAGTAGCCTGTACTACGCTGCTTGCCCCAAGAGATGGGCTGGATTGCGGTGTAGTGCGGCCCCACTGCTACGCGAGTGGAAGCAGGGACTGGTCGTTTACTGCTGTTTTAAAAAAAAAAAAAAAAAAAAAAAAAATTCTCGTTTTCCACCATGAGAATTATCAGCTGCTGTGTTCACTGATCACTTTTGAGAAGAGAATTAAAGATCTTCGGTGCCACCCCTAAAAATCCTGTACGTATTGTCACTCCTTCTCGTTTCTCGCACGGCAGAGGAAGCTAAAAAAGGACACCAGTCCTTGCGGAGCAGGGTTTTACTGGTGTCGATCCTGGGGACGGCCTCACCTCGTGCCACTGTGAGACCTTCTGCCAACATTGCTCTCGTTAAAAGACAAAGATCTCCTTGTTACCTTTCCTGCCCTTCCAGTTCAGGGCGGAGGAACTTCCCCAGTTCCCCCTGGACGTTGAGGTGCTGCCAGCAGGAAAGTAAGGTGAGTTGCTGTTTCTAATCATAAACCGTCAGGAACAAGCAGTGGTGGGCCTGTTTTACTACTCCTCAAGGAGTTTTCAGGCTTTTGGAGACCGTAAAGAGACAAAAAAGGCACAAAACACGTCTGTCTGTTTTCCTTTTTTGCTGTGCTCCTCCTACCATCACGGTGGGAAGCTCGCGTGCGCTGAGGAGCATTGCTTGGCCCGGCCGGCTAGTAGACCTCCTGGACCGGAGCCACCTGGCCTGGGAAGGAGGAGTGGAGCAGGGCAAGGGGCTGATCTCTGCAGCCCCTCGGAGGCAGCCCAGCTCTCTGTCTCTTCAGGGGAAAAGTTTGGGCAGGCAGAAGACTCCAAAAGCTCCAGCTTTGGCTCTTAATTCCCAAGGCGCTGCCGTTCTCTGACTCCTCGCGTAGTCCTGTGTGGAAAGCCAGCGTTGCCCAAAGATAGCTTCTCTCCAAACCAAAGCCGTGGGTGCACAATTTGGGAAGTGTGAGGCCGGGGGCAGGTGCAGAGTGTTTCCATGTGGCTGTCTATAACGCTGGGGCACAAAAAAAGCCTGTTTCCCGCTGTAGCGTGCGAGTGTTTGATAGTCGTCGTCGTTTCCAAACCAGCATGCAAACAAAACACTACAATTGATTGCAAATGGGTGTCACACAGGAAGCCGTTCGGTATTTTGTTTTATGCCATGCTTTGGCTGCTGAGGGCAGTAATATTACACACACACAAAAAAATATTCCAGGGTAATTGCAATGCTTCTTGTAGAAGTTTGCTGTCCCCACTACTCAGATGGTCTCTGAGGAGAGAGTTTATCCGATATCCGTAGCAGCGCGTCCTGCCCCGTGGGGTATCGCTGGAGGACGGGTGCTGAGGAAGCCCTTATTTGATGGAGCAGCAAGGGTGGATAGTGCTGAACTGCGCCGCCGGGGAAGGGGGGCTGCCGGGGATGAAGTGCGCGCACCCGCGTGCGTTAAGCAGCGAACCGCTTTGGGGCAAGCGCTCCTACTTGGAGAATGATAAAAAAAGGGGGGGTTTTTTGTTTGTTTTCCTCCTTGGCAGTACAAATCCCCGTTGTATCAGCTGGGACCGGTGCCCAGGGCTGAAGTCTCCGGGCCGGGAGGAGACAGACGGAGGATTTGCTTCTCCGTTTGTTTTCGGTGGCGGAACAGCTGTGTCCCGAGGTCGGTGCTTACTCAGCTCGCCTGGTGCCGGGCCCGGAGCGGAGGAGCCCGCAGGTATTCGAGCGTCGGTGTTGCTGCGGCGGCGGAGCAGCCTCGCGCGCCTCCCAGCCCCCCGCGGCGGCGCTGGG